AAAAGTTTATTTGAATAAATGAGTTTTTTTTAATCTACGCGATAAAAATCCACTGAATGTAGAAATAAAGTGCAATAATATAAATAAAATTTACCTGAAAGATGTGAAGAATTAGTACCTTGTAGGTATAACAAACCATTCAAAAGTGCTTCAATGTAAGTTTATTTGAATAAATGACTTTCTACTCTATTCTATTCTACACGAAAAATAAAAAGCACTGAAATTAAAAAATAAAGTGCAATAATATAAATAAAATTTTCCTGAAAGATGTGAAGAATTAGTACCTTGTACAACAAAACATTCAAAAGTGCTTCAATGTAAGTTTATTTGAATAAATGATTTTGTACTCTATTCTATTCTACACGAAAAAAAGTGCACTGAAATTGAAACAAACGGTGCAATAATATAAATAAAATTTTCCTGAAAGATGTGAAGGAATAGTACCTTGTATAACAAAACAATCTTTCAGTTGTTGTTCAATGTTCGTATAGTTTACGATAATTAACAAAATAATTACGTGCTAATTACGTTTTTACAAAACAGTGGCATGAAAGTTGGATGCGGACGAGTTACGTGATCCACGGCCGGTACTTTGTACCTACCGACTACCTGTCTGCACTTATTAGTATAGATAACACTAATATTACAAACTTGAAGAGTTTGTTTGTTTAAACGCGCCGATCTCAGAAACTACTGGTTCGAATTTAAAAATTCTTCCTGTGTTGGATAGTCCATTTGTCGAGGAAGGCTTTAAGGTATATATCATTACGCTACGACCAATAGGAGCGGAGCTGCAATGAAAAATATTGCAAAAGGTGGGGAAATGAATGGAAAACGAAGTTTCGCAGGTCAACTAGTACAGTTATATTTTTACTAGCTACCCGCCCCGGCTTGGCACGGGTGTACATGTGTGTGACGGCCTCGGTGGTTTAGCGGTTTAGCACACTCCTTTACTTCCGATGGTCGCGGGTTCGATACCTCGCAGTATGGATAGATGTTTGATACTCTTTCACGCAAAAACTACTGAACGAATTTTGATTAAATTTTACTGTAACATAGCTTATACGTCAGAACAACACATGGGCTATAATTTAAAAAGATATTATGCAAATTGAGCGACATATAATGATAAGTGTCATGCAGACGAAGTTGCGCGGGTCAGTTAGTATATTTATATTATTTTTATTCATCTAATTTAATATTGTGACAACCCTATTCATATAGAGAAGGTGCCTATGGGTGCAGTCACTAAAACGTCTTATTAACAGTTATAAATTCAAGGTAACGCGTTCGATTTGATAGCATGCGATTTGTTAATATGTGATTAAAATTCCTAAATTACACTTTTATGGTTTATTTTTAATTTAAAATATAATATACGACTGATTTGTAAACATGCATATGCACGTTGGTTTGTTTGAATTTATAAATTTATTTATTTATTTAAATATAATTTAAGAAATGATTATAAAAATTACTATTGACCTACAAGAATATATAAATAAATTAATTTAAATTTAGATTCTAAATAATATGTAATTATAAATTAATATTTTAAGATCTCTTCTACAATATTATGAACTCGGTAGTTCAATTATTGTGGAACTAACATGAGAAAAAAATCTACTATTTTGTATTTAATGAATAATCATAATAATCTGAGGACAATTCACACAGCGCCATCTATACCCAAGTTAAGCTAGCTAAAGCTTGTGTTACGGGTACTAGATAACTGATACAAATACACAGATTTTTTTTCGTAAATACATACATAATATACACAGAAAATACCCAGACCGATACAAAGAATAGTATTCATGAATACAAATGTTTGTGCCGTGCGAGGAATAGAAGTCGCGACAATCGGATGTTTTTATTATATATATATATATAAAATTTTATTTAAATGATAAAATATACTTATTAAAAACTTAAACAATAAAATAGAACAAAACACTGCATAATTGTATATAAAATGTATGGATAGGTTTAGAGTATTCTTGTATTCCATAGTAAATGAGTAGTATAGTGTATAGTGAATCAGTAATTAAGGTAACAAGCCTGAAATTTAATATCCGGGTATAGATGTATAAAAAAAAATCATTTTGACTGTAATCGACTCTAATGAATTAGTGCTAGTGTAGTCAAAGCCGGATCCAGCTCAAGTCAAGAACTTATAATTTAATTTTGATAACAATAGATACAAGTAAAAAGTAGGCATGTTATTAATGTACGTAAGTACTGTACTAAAAATATTAATAAAAGTTGTATGGTGACAAATATATAAATAAAATCATTATGTTCAATTAGTGGTCCACCTAAGTCCTGGGCTCAGGGGGGGTCATGACCCCCATGACAACCCTGGATCTGCCGTTGTTTGTAGTATGTATGCGCACATTGTAACTTTAAAATGTAAAGTTACAACAATTATTTAAAAGAGCAGTTTCTGGTTGTTCTTCTTGCTTTCCGAATGAGCGGTAGATTAAAAAAATAAGTAATGGCTAATGTTTAAATGTTAGTTTATTTGAATAAAGAATTTTCTGTTTTTTTTTTTTTCATTCCATTCATAGATTATTATACGAATCTTTTTAGAGACACAACGTTATATATACATATAAATAATATTAGTGTCTGTTTGTAATATTGAAATAATCGTTCTTTACTACATGCATGTGAATACGGTACATACACCAAAATAACATTTTTTACATTTTTTTCTGTCTGACAGTTTGTTCTTCTTGTGATGAATGTGCCTCAAAAGTGTTTGTATTGAGTTTGTTACAAGAAATATTATTTCAATTTTTTGTACTTTGAAGAACAGTCTCGTTTCACACTCTATACCTCTATGGTAGAGTTGCCAACGTAGTTTAGTGTTGTAGTTTCTGAAGTGTCCTGGGAAGTTGGGAATAGTTAATGGCAGGGTCCTGGGATTTTAAAATATACGCGCCTCTGAATTACTGATTGTCAACAGTATAATTTTATCAAATACTTTATATTAAAAACCTGATTATATTAATTACTTGAATTTTACTACATCTTAATATAACTATTGCAACACTATTACTGCGTTCTGTTTTTTAACTGAACAGTCCTGCTTTTTTTTACTATCAATCATGTTTTTTTTTAATTTGATCTTGGCAACCCTACTTTATGGTATTCTATATTTTATATGAACGTGTAATTTGTACGGTTGACGATTGCAACTGCTTTTTTATATAGTTTTAAGCAGCTGGCCTTTATAGATTGAAAATGGGGCCGAGTGCAGAGGGCACTCTAAACCTGCGGCAGGGTTTATGGAGCGGCTCAAGGCCGATTGCTTAACGGATACGACTTTAGTCTGAGGTTACTAGGGGTTCAAACCTCGATTCAGACTGATGTAATTTTAATTTACAATGGAATTGGATATCTATGGGAGTAGCGACTAGTGTTGCCAGTTTAAAAGGCCTTATGAAAATTATAAAAGTGTAAATTCTAATGTGTTTCCAACAATAGGTGTTGCAAAATTTATACATATTTTTATAAATTGACTTTTCTATTAATTTTTAATTACTTTTAGGTTATGGCTATTGCTTATGACTTCATCCGAGTGGAATAAAAGATTTTTTTATATATATATATATATTTTCTAGTATAGTACCTATATAATAATGTTTATAGTTATAGAAAGTAGCCTAAGTTACTCCTTATTATATTATCTGCGAGTAAAAGCCCCGTCAAAATCGGTCCTGCCCTTTTACAGATTAGCACGAAACAGACAGACGGACTATTTTTTTTCATTAAGTTAAGTAAGCACCGCATGTACATTCATACATTTAGTGAAAAGCTTTGAAATAATAAACAGACAACATCAATTTCATTGATGTATATAGATATAATTTTGTCATTTTTATACTTATATATTCTTTGTGCGCATATTAAAATTATTTACAGTTTTTTATACACTGTTTCATTCGTAGACATTCTATCTAACTTTTTTTATTTTTATTAAGTATTTTTACGGCCCTGGAAACACTATCTATCTATCTTCCATAATGTAGTTGTATGATTGAACCTCTGTAGTCAGTTTTGGGATGATAATATATAAGATTGTCATGTTCATAAAACATTAAAATATTTTTAGATTTTTAAATTAATTACAATAATTTTATAGTGTAAACCGGCTACAGTTGTGAATTTCTGAAAAGTAAAAGTCCAATTAAATATTTTTTTTATTAAGTTGATAAAAAAAATTATAATTAATAACGTAAAGTAATTGAGCAAGTAGCACTTTTTAAATTAAATATACTAATTTGTGCTAAAATTTCTGCCAAAATATAATAAAATGCAGTTATGTAGCTAATTAACTGCACTTTCGAAGTTTTTATCTTTACTTTTTATGTTATGCAAGTTAAAAGTAATTGAGTTAAATCTCTAAAATAAGTAACGCGCCTAGTTAAAGTAACTACAGACTTTCCTTTATTGTAATATTAATTGTAATGTTTATAAATAAAAAAAAATAAACATAATGGTTTACACTATAAAAAACATAAAATATTATAGTTTATAAAATGCATAATGTATGAAATTTAAAAAGATAAATTAAAAGTTTTAATTTTATAAGGCGAACTTGAACATTTTATTTTTTTAAACACTGAGAATATAAAATGTTACCATAGATTATAAAACGAATAACGTTCGAAATTTAAAAAGATAAAAGTTTAGCAATTATGGTAATTTATTAAATTATATGATAATAGGTTTGTTTAATATAATTTTTAATAAGATACCGGTAAGGTTTCGGACGATTGTCCGCTTACAGCCTCCGTATCTCACAAGATCACTTTCCAGTGCCCCACTGGCCCAGATCCCCACCATACAAGTGAAAGCAAAATTAGCAAAAACCAATAATGACATAATACCAACCAATCGGGCATAACTTAATCTATTCGTGAGAAATTTTAACTTAAAGACAATGGTAATTGTAATTAAAAAGGATTAACATATAATAATTAGCTACTTACCTTAATTTGTCGGCACTATATTTTTTTTAACTCAACACAATCACAGACACAGTTCCACTTTTTTTTTTATTAAAAAAAAAATAATAAAAACAAAAACCACAGCACGATGTCACTGTCAAAATTTCCCGCTAAATTTTAGGGGCGATTTTTAAATTTAGAATATCTTAATTCTTTTTTAATTAAATATAAATTAATGACAATTTAAAAATATGACGTCATTCGAGTTCTTTTTTCGATTTTTTTTTTTATCTCCACCGATAGGCGCATGCAAGTTTTCCTTTGAGACGCGCAATGTTGAGGACGCGTTGTGTCAAAGCGGGCTCGAGCGCCCGACTGCACTTTTCTTGCAGAATACTGTAAGTCGTTGTCCATTCACTGATTCACAATAAATACAGAACGTCACCATTTCAATTTATTGTCTGAGGAAAACGTTTCAGAAGCTATAGCCTGTAGGTAAGTACGTAATTAACTTGTTGTGTGGGTGTTTTAGGTGCACACTTATGTACGTTGACAATAGTACCTGATGAGTACATTAGGTAACGCAATAATATTTTATTAACTATTATGGATCTAATATTGATTATTGTTATCATTACATTGAACATTTATTAACTAATGTTATCGTAGTTTCTAGGTAAGTATTGGCATAAAGTAATTAATATCATTATTAGTATAAAACAAGATAAAGTTATGTCTCTACTTCTCTGCCTCGGTGGTCTAGTGCCGCCGCCTTAGTTCTGTCGGTAGCAGGTTCTATTCCTCACACAAATATTTGTATTAGTGGTCATAGTATTAAATATAAGGCGGTGCCTTACTTCCGTCGGTCGCAGGTTCAATTCCTCGCACAAATATTTCTATTCATAAGATTGATTGTATCGGTTTGGGTGTTTTATATGTATATTATGTATGAATTAAAAAAATCTATCAGTTGTTGTACATGATCATATATTAAATTTAAGTTCCTCTTGTAATGCGACAGCTTTCTGATTGAGTGATAGATTAAAAAACTAAGTGTAACTATTCAAAAATGCTTCAGTACACGTTTATTTGAATTATTCTCTCTCATTATATTCAGTCATTTACAGTTATTACTATATCTTTAGATCCATGCCTACCACTTTACTTTTGATGGTCGCGGGATCGATACCTCGCACTGTACAAACATATATATTAATGAGTATGATTGTTTTATTTATTTCTTTATTTAAACTTTATTGATTTTTTTATACAATAGGCGGGCTTAATGCTAAATAGCATTCTCTACCAGCCAACCTTAGGGAGCGCAGAGATACTCGAAGGCGGTTAGTTTACTAAATAAAACTATATAATACTAGCTACCCACCCCGGCTTCGCCCGGGTGTACATGTATTATACATATAAACCTTCCTCTTGAATCACTCTATCTATTAAAAAAAACTGCTTCAAAATCCGTTGCGTAGTTTTAAAGATTTACATAGGAACAGACAGATAGCGACAGCGACTTTATTTTATACTATGTAATGATATTAAATACATAGTTATAAATATAAGAACACACATATATATAATAATATACTACATACAAATATATACATTTATATAAATATATATTACTAGCTTTTGCTTTCGGTTAATTTATCCCTTAGGAGTGGAATTTATCAAAATCCTTTCTTAGGGGATGCCTACGTCATAGTAGCTTTATGCATGCAAAGTCTCAGCCCGATCGGTTTAAAATTGACAAAGCTTCATACAAACTTTCATCCCCTATTTTATACCCTTGGGGGTAGAATTAATCAAAATCCTTTCTTAGCGGCTGCCTACGTCATAACATCTACCCGCATGCCAAATTTCAGCCCGATCCGTCCAGTGGTTTGTGCTGTGCGTTGATAGATCACTATGTCAGTCACCTTTGAGTTATATATATTTAGATAAACAAACTACACATATAAAATATATGATGATCATGATGATAATTATTACAGTTGTATGAGAGATTATTTAAAAGATAAGTGCTCATATTGCAAAACTAGGCCTATGCACGACAAAAATCTGCAGATTCTGCCAAACTGAAGAGGAAACGCCACTACACACCCTATGTGGTTGTAGCCCACTCATGCATAAACGAAATATCTCCTTTGGAAAGTTTACACCCTTTCCCGAGGAGATAAAAACCATCGCTCCTAAGAATTCTTGTCCCTGACGGGTCTAGGTAGCGAACTTTGAAAAAGGGCGAGAACAATAGATCTATGTGATTGTTAGTAATGTGGATTGATAACCCCATTGCTAGCAATGTACCATGTCAGGTCGACCTCCACGCGGTTCCCCTTGGAAACCATCATGTTAAATTCCTGGTGAATTTGTCACGATGGGTTAACTGACCTGACCTCATGCTCATCTTATCATCCTCCACTGGTGCCCCGCCAGCGTAAACCGTTAGCGCAGGCGGGTGCACCATTCCATTATCATCCATAAAAAAAATAGATCTATGTAGATCGCAGTGCTACAGGTGCTACTAACATCTGACAATAGCCCAAACTACCCAATAAAAAAAAAAGTGTTCCCATTGGTCTCAGTTTTTTCTATTACATTATTTGTGGTCGGTACAGTATGTCTTTTGGTTCCACTGGCCCCTATCAGCCGTCATATCTGAGTTTACTCTCCTTTCTATGTATATACATATATTTTTTAATCTTAAATTTATTTATGAACTTTCTATATATATATCAGGGATGTTAAGGAGCTCCGTAACCGTAACCGAAACTGTCGGATATCCGATATAAAAAATATCCGTAACCGTAACCGAATCCGAAATTAAAGTTTCGGATAATATCGGTTAGGCGCGGAGCCTAATTGAGACACGTTATGTAACCATTTTATTAGCTATTTGTATTTTACTTTTGAAATTCCTTAAAAAATTATTATCCGTAACCGAAGTTAACCGAAACTAACGGATAATCGGAAGTAATTTAATATCCGCATCCGTATCCGTATCCGGTATAATAATCATTCCTATATCCGAAACCTATCCGTGTCCGAAATTTCATATCCATACCATCCGTGATATATATATCCTTACAAATGTTATAAATGTGAAAGTACGGATGTTTGTTACGCTTTCACGCAAAAACTACAGAACCGATTATCATGAAATTTGGTACACATGTCCTTGGAGCTGGTAGAATGAACATAGTATGCTTGTTGGCGACCGACTGCCGAACTCTTTTGATATTTTTATTATTTTAAATTTATATTTTTGAAGAGTTCTTTTTTATATGTTATGTTATTTGATATACTTCAATTTATTGTATCATTCTCTTATTGTCTTTCGTATAGTTCGCAATTGCACATATTAATATATTATATTATTGCAAACTACGTGTTTTCATCATTTAGACACCCATACAGTCCACCGATCCGTTACATTTTGGTCCTTTCGTCGCCGTAATACTGAAATTTCATACAATGCTTTTTATTTAAAAAGAACAAATATTTTTTATAAAATACAAAAAAATAAATATAAATGGTTACCGTAGGCTATGGACCCAGGGACGCGGGAAACCAGGACTTTCACGTGCCTGTTGCCGTCTCTTAAGAAACCTTAATAGTGTATATTAAGGTTTTGAAAGAACCCAACATTATGTATGTATTTACCAAGAAGAATATCTACTCATTTATGTCAGTTGTCTATTCTAGTTAATAATTATATAGATAAATAGATAGATAAATTTTTTATTCAACAATTACAGACGCATAACATACGTGAGATACAAAAAAAAACATGAATTTATAAAAGAAATGTAGTTAGTTTTATGTGCCGCAAATGTGAAAAGGCAGCCAACTCAGCATAATGTTACAGATAAATACAGATAGATACCTTTGACGACCTCGGTGGTCTAGCGGTCTAGCACACCGCTTTACGTCCGATGGTCGCGGGTTCGATTCCTCGCACGGCAGAAACATTTGTATTTATGAGTACGATTGTTTGTATCGGTCTGGGTGTTTTCTATGTATAATATGTATGTATTTATAAAAAAATATCTATGTATATGTATCAGTTATCTAGTACCCATAACACTTGGGTCTAGATGACACTGTGTGAATTGTCCTGAGATAAAAAAATCTTATAATCTCAGGACAATTTACACAGCGCCATCTAGACACAAGTTAAGCTGGCTAAAGCTTGTTTTGTGGGTACTAAACAACTGGTACAAAACTGGTAGTTGTAACATAACCTAAAGAAAGAAAGAAAAATATATTTATTTGGCGCATACAAAACAGTCATAATGTTGTATGACACATATCACAAAAATTATAAGAAATTATTTTAAATTTTAACCTCTGCTTAGTTTGGGACTAGATGGCGCTGTGTAAATTGTCCAGGGATATTTTTGTATTACTCACTCTAATTTAATCGTTTAAATATGTTCATACGCTATATTTCATAATTTGCTAAGTGAAATAACATGTTTGACTGTTTTAACCTGTTTTTAAATGTTATATGAGACAATGTTAATATTGAATTTGTTTATAAATAATTCTGATTCTAAGTAAAGATTAAAAAAAAATTAAGTAACTTCTTTTTGTATAATCACATATTAGGTACGTACATTATCATCATTATTACATATTATAAAACAAAGTCGCTGTCGCTGTCTGTCCCTGTGTATGCTTAAATCTTTAGAACGTAATGGATTTTGAAGAGTTTTTTAATACATAGAGTGATTGTAGGTTAAGGTTTATGTATATAATATATGTACACCCGAGAGAAGCCGGGGCGAGTAGATATACAATAGTTTAGATCTAAGCATAAGGCTACTATTCTACGCGAACAAAGTCGTGGAACAGCTAGTTATAGTATAAAAGCTAAGTCCGAGACGATAGTTTAGACCTAATCGTCTAGATATTAGTGATAAGCGAATCTTATCACCTTTTTCTGCCTAAATACATCGCTAGTTCAATTGGGACCAGTCGATAGAATGTGATGACGTCAAAACATAATATTAAGAAGACACAAGTTTGCGCGTTTACCGCTAAAAGGAATCCATTCATCGTATCTCCTCAGTTTCAAGACACTCTCCTTGATGTGAAGACAAATCTCGAG